AAGTGCAAAAACTCATGATACAAATTCAATTTAGAAATATATTTATAATTTATAATTACATTTATTTTTAATATTAAAAATTCTACAAGAAAACAAATACAATAATATAAAAATATAATTTATTTTTTATTTTTATTTTCATAGTTATATAAATTAAAAACTATTATAACTTCTTAAATTTAAACAACTAATAGCAAATATAATTCATACATAAATAAACAAATAAAAGAATATGAGAAATAATTTATTTTATATAATGAATCTAGTGTTTAAAAGACAAATAAATCAAAGCATCAAAAGTGCTCACCTTTAAAGTATTAAATAATGAAAACTTCTACAAAAAAAAAAAAAAAAAAAAAAAAATACTCCTTGCAGAAAAAAGTAGTTCAATTTGGTCCCATACCACTTTAAAGTATTAAAAAATGAAAACTTTTATATAAAAAAAAAATAAAAATACTTCTTCCATTAAAAAGTAGTTCAATTTGGTCTGATACAAAAATTAAAAAAAATAGTAGTTAAACATAATCTTAAAATTTTAATTATAAATTAAAATAAATAAAAATAATGTAATAAATATAGTGATATACATTAACTCTGTTCACGCAACGTTTTAAGATGAAATGATTTTTTGTGTATGGTATGGAAAATTGTGTAAAAAATATAAAATATATTATTTTAGGTTGAATATTCGACTTTTTTACTTTTTTTAATGATTTTTTAACTTTTTATAATGAGTATTTTGATTATTTATTTTTTTATAAAATATTTTGTATTTTTTATTAGTATTATTTTTGGGAATCGCAATTGAAAAATAGTGTTGGGAGAACAAAATGATTGTAAATAATTATTGAATGAAATATAATAGTTAAATACTCCTCCGTCCCATCACAATCGATACTATTTCCATTTTTGTTTGTAATGTAACAATTGATACATTTCTATTTTTAGTAAAAATTATTAAACCAAAACATATTTAATAAATATAAATCAACTTAATTAATTACTAACATACAACATCATAAATGACTTAGGACCACTCAAAACCCCTTTATTTCTACCTCTCTCCTAAAAAATAAATATTTTTATCTATATTTAAAACTACACTTCTTTTATAAAATTGATTTATATTAATTATAAATAAACAAAAATATTTTTTTATTTACTTATAATATAGAAGATTTTATTCTCTACTAAATATATTAATATTACATATATTTTTTAATAATTATAGATAATTTTTAAATATTTAAACATATGTTTAAATTTTTTTAATCATATATATTAAATTTATTTTAAAATTATAAATATTATTAATTATACAAATAAATAATATAATAATACATAATTATTATTAACTAATTAAATATCCTCACCTTAAATATTGTGTCTCTAATCAAATGGTTCAATTCTGGTGGGACGGAGGGCGTATTATATTTGTTGATTTTTTCAAAATTAATAATAGAATAAATTTAATGGAAGGGTGTCTTTGTTTGAGGGTTCGGATTTGTAGTTGGGATTTGAATAGTAAAAATTTTAAATTTGAATAATAGTACAATGTGATATAAATAAAAATTGATATGATATTTTAAATGTAAAATTAATTTTTAATATAATATAAAAAATAGTAAATTATAACACATCGTTGTGTTGTAAAAATGCACAAAACATCATTTGTTTTATTTATTACTTGAATCTCCCTTGTGTTAATGTAAAGTTTGTACGAAACACCCCGTTTGTTCAAAACTAATATTTGATTATAAATAAAGACTTAAATTAGGCAAGTTTTATAAAATAAAAACCGCAAAATATCTTAAATAATTTTTTTGAATACAATAAATAAATAATTAATTAATTGATTAATTCTTCGTTTTAAAATTTTAGAGACAAATTGTTATCTGATTTTCATAAAAACTATAAAAATAAATGATTGATCAATTATTTATTTATTTATTTTATTCAAAAAAATTATTTAAGATATTTTGCGTTTTTTATTTGTATAAAATTTTCATAATTTAAGTCTCTATTTAGAACCAAATATTAGTTTTGGACAAGGAGAGAGTTTAGTACAAATTTTACATTAAGACAAAGGGGTGTCACGTAATAAATAAAACACATGATGATTTGTATATTTTTACAAAAAATACAATGACGTGTTATATAATTTACCCTATAAAAAATAAAAAATAAAATTTTGATATAGAAATCCTATAAAATTCTTCAACAAACACACCCTAAAAAAAGTAAAAATAAATTTGAAACTGAGATTTAATAAATATATTAATAGTTAAATTGAGATAATTAAATACAATATATAATTATCTACAATTTAATCAACTAATAATTAAAATAAAAGAAAAAAATAATCTATGCTAATAGCTTATTTATTATATATGTAAACATTTATACAAAAAATTTACTAATACAAATCTAACAAAAAAAATAAAATTATATTGATTTAAAAAATAACTCACAAGAATGGGTTTGTAATTTTAGCATTTTAAATCTAAATTAATATTAGAGCCATAAATAAGACGAACTTGTCATATTTGAGTTCGAATCGTTAAGAATTCGAGTGCGGTTGCGGTTTGTGTTCATTTTTTAAGAGATATAACATAATATTTTGTTTGACTTTAGCTCGTTTAGCAATTTTTTTGATCGTGTTCGACTCGGTTCGGCTCATTAAGAGAATTTTTATTTTATTTAAATTAAATTAATAATAATTATATTTTTATTACTAAATTGAAATAAAAAATAAAATATACTACCTCCGTCCGGCTCTTAGGATCCCATTTATTTTTTGCTTGTTAATATTTAAATATTAATTATTATATCAAAATATAGTATAAATTAAAAAAATTGCAAAAATACTTACATTAGTTTCTTATCATAATAATAGAAGGACATTTGTATAAAAAAATTATAGAAATATAAATATATTTTTAATGTCGAGTACAATGAAATAAGAGGTAAATGTGAATCTTAAAGGCGGACGGAAAGAATATTTGTTTATCTAGGAGAGTGAAAAAATAAAAGGGTTTTGAGTGGGTTCTACATATGTGTGATGTTAGTATTATAAAGTTAATTAAGCTGATTTATATTTGTTAAATATGTTTAGATTTAGTAAACATTACTAAAAGTAGTATCGTGTCAATTGAAGTGGAACAGACAAAAAACAAAACAAAGACAATTGAAATGAATCGGAGGGAGTATATTAATATATACTCTATCCGTCGCGGCTAAATTGTCCACATTATTCTAGATATGAGAATTTAAGTAAAAAATATAATTAGTAAGTAATTAAAAAATTGTATTAGTAAAAATAATTATAAATTAAGATTAAGATAACTAAATAGTTTAATTAAGACTAAAAAATTATAAATTATAAAAATTAAAATGTGATTAAAGTGTATAATCATATTTTTTTTAAAATGACAAATTATGTGAGACGAAGCGAAATAAGAAAATGAACATTGTATACTGGGTGGAGAAAATATTTATTTATTATTATCTCCGTCCGATTCTAAGGGTATCATTTACTTTTTGTGTGTTGATCTTTAAATATTAATTATTATATCAAAACATACTAAAAAATTAATAAATAATTACAAAAATACTTCTATTAGTATTTTATAATACTAATAGAAGGACAATTGGACATTTGTACAAAGGATTATATATAAACATAAGAATATTTTTAATGTTAAATATAATGACGCAAAAGGTAAATATGACATTTAGAAGCGGCGGAGGGAGTATTTATTTTAATATATTTTCTTTTAGTAAGTTATGAATTTTTTATAAATTTAAAGTAATTAAAATTATTATTACTTTGTAAATGAAAATTATTTTATTTATAAAATATTTAAACTTGTTAAATTTAAAAGAAAATAAAAATGAAGATATTAATATTATTAATTTATATATATATATATATAATTTTTTATCATAAAAGTCTTTATCTAAATGGAAAATTCATTGTTGAAATAAAATTTGAGCAAACAACATTAACCAACCCAAGACAAAAACCTAAAGAAAAATTGTTTGTGTTGATGTTGAAATGGAATACCAACATGAATTAGGAAACTAGCTCCATTTTTTTTTGGGGGGGGGGTTTAGTGGACATTGGGTGCGTGTCTAGTAAACACACATACAGTGATAGCGACATGCATTTTGCTTTTTATTTTATTTATTATTACTATTACTATTATATTTGCTAAAATAAAATTTGTATGAAGTTTCTTCCTCTTGTGCTCAAGCTGTGTGTGTCTCCATTTTTTTTTTATCTGGGTTTTGGTCCTGTTTGTCGAATCAACGGGTTAGCGATTTTGTACCTCGTTGAGTTTGTCTTCGGTTTTTCGTCCGTGGTTATCTCCGGCGTCTTCTAGGTAACTTTGTGATAGAAGAAAAGGCTGGATATATAACTGATTGAGCTTCATCTTGATGGGCTAATCCAAATTAAGAAATAATTTGATCCACTATCTTAACATTTCATAACACTAGAAAAAGATTGATTTGGCACGGAAGAAATGGTACCAAAACCGCAGTTATTATGTCAATTTGGCGCGGCATGTGTCGCAGTTTCTGTCCAGTACAAAATCTCGGTTCCAATGTTCTTAGTAGCGGACATCCAGGCCAAAAATAAAAATTCTTGGCGCCGCTATTGGAGCCATAAATAAGAAAACAAAAAAAAAAAAAAGAGAGAGAGAGAGAAGAAAGTTGAGGTGCCGAAGGTAGTGCCATGATCTATACCGAAAAAGATTTAAAAAAAAAAAAAAACTTGGGTGCCAAAAAAATAAATAATAATAATTTTGACATTAAAGGATGCGCCAACACAAAAAAAAAAATAACAAATATATATTGGCGCTGATATCAACACCACTAAGTAAAATAAAAATAAATTAAATATATGTTGGCGCTGAAATCCGCGGCCAAAAAATAAAATAAAATTATCTTTTGCAAACAAGGAATAAAACCAAATGATCCTTGTTACAACTGGAAGATAAAAATAAAAGTAAAATAAAAATTGAAACACAAATAAAATAAGATATTATTTAACAACTAGAATTCATGAAACTGGTTCTATGAATCTCATTCTAATAAGATGCAACTATGCATGATCATCACCATGTCATGATTGTATTAATCAATTCTGAAAGGACACATCATCCATAGATGATGCACACTCCTCCCTTAAATGTTCAGCATAAACACCTGCTTTAACATCTTCCCTAATCTGGAACAAGAATACATCAGAAGTAAAATTATTTATGTAATAGAATCAAATAAGAAGTTCAAAAAATTATAGGAACACATGTAGATTGATTTACCTAGAGACCTCTTTCTTTGGCTAGGATCCAACAAATCTGTGATTTGTTCATTGTACATCTAAGTATGATGCTCAAAATATTCAGTAAGGATAACATCAGAATAGCCATTGACAGAACATTTTTAGGTGATCATAAAAGGACCACGAGGAAAGAGCAGCGACATGTGTACACTAATTGTTTGTCAAATGCTTTTTGTTCCTGAATGGTAAAATATAAAACTTTATTGTTAAAGAAAGCTTAATAGTATGAAAATGTTATATAGGTAATGTTCCTGAAAATGCTTGACCTCACCTTGTTAATCGGGTCAAAGAGCTTGTAAAAGACACGGGGAGCTATGCCTTGTTGATCTTCCTCCAGCAATACATTTGATGCACCCCAGATTGTGTATGCTCGCCACTCCGAGTCTGAAAAAAAGTTCAAAATAAGCTCACATATGAAAGTTAATATATATATATATGTTTGTGTGTGATCTTGCCATCAAATGCACTGCAATAAATCCATAAGCAGACAGAGATGACCATACCTATCCATACGCAACGACGGAGTTGTTGAATCCAACTAGACAGTTTTCAATCAAAGGTACGTCTATTAGCTCGACTATGCTACTTTGCAACACATTAATCAAAATGAATGATAAAAAAAAAAAAAAAATTCTTCACTTGCTACAACAATGTTGTATTTCTAAATATCTTCATTTTGCTTCACACATAGTCAAACAGATGGAGAATTTCGATTGTTATATAGTACCATCAAACAGATCCTCTAGATTCACAACATTATTCAGAGCTAAAAGCTACTCAGAAATTCATCATCAGTAATGGAAATAATCTTCAGGTTGTTCCCAAGGATAAATTATCCGAGCAAAGGAATAATGATTTGAAAATGATAAAATCACGAAACAAGCTTCCATAAGTGTGGACATGACTCCCACCTTCTATTCAATGCTGATGAGAATCTCCGATTCATTAGAACTTCGCTATGAAGTGCAAAATTACTAGTAAAAATGGCATAACAAACCTATAGAGAAACGTACCTAACAATTGAATGCTACATAAAACCTTATAGAGTTATATGTAGAGATAACGAATTGCAATTTGATAAAAGTTTCGTCGACTAAACCAAATCAGAGCTTGGAGACATGAATGAAGGGAGAAAGAAACGTGTTCTTAATTCAACACTTACTCTACAGCTCCGAGAGACTATTCCGGAAGATTTATTTCCGACGACGAAGGAGAAATTACTATTGTTAATAGGGTAGAAGAAAGAGAAATTACTACTGTTAATAAAATTTAATTTTGGAGCGATAGCCGCAAATAATAGTGACTCATCCATTATTTTAATTTTTTAAAAAAACAAAAGGTACGAATGACGGTGACTCATCCGTTATTTTAATTTTTTTTAAAAAAACAAAAGGTACGAATGACGGTGACTCATCCGTTATTTTAATTAATAAAATAAAAATTTAAGCAGAAGGCGCGAGAAGCCAGGCCTTATTTATAAATTTTGTTATCTATATTTTATTCTCAATAAGTAATTTTATCAATTAACACAGTATATTTTTCATATTATCTTTTGCTGCATTACAATTTATTTTAATAAAAAAATACTCTAAATTCATTTTGGATGAAAATTTGTGTATATAAAAATTGAATGCAATACTTAACAAAAAACATCAAGACAAATGGTCACCAATACTAATAGCTTTAATAGCTTTATATTTGCACGAGAGTGTACAAAATTAAATGCATTGTACATAATATTCAATTTTTTGAAAAAAAATTAATTTTATTATTAGGCGCCGAAATTGGCGACTAGTTATATTTTTATTTTTTTTATTTAATAACCAATGCAAAAAATCGTGTCATTTGATATATAAAAGCGCCAATTTGGGAGCCATCATTTTATTTAAAAGAAATAGGCACTGAAGTTGACACCTTAATTTCTTTTTAATGAAAAAAATAAAAAGAATCAGACGCATAGCACAATATTTTCTATAATAAATAATTATTTTTTATATATAAATTAATAAGGCATTGATTTTGGCACCAATAAAAGAATTTTGTTACGGAAATCGGTACCAAGAATGTCCGCGCCATTCCATACCTAATTATCCGCGTCACGTTTTTTAGAGTAGTGATTGTTTGGAACCCGTTTTGTCACCCTCTCTTTGCCGTAATCTTTGCCATTGCCACGTTTCACAGAGTTTGTTAGGAATTTGTTATAATCAATTGTATACAAACCGTGTAACAATCATTTTGATTTAATATACATACATATATAATTTTATCTTTCTATTGCTTCAGTGCTCTGCTCTTCTTTATAGTATCAGAGCTTAGTTGATCCAAAGACATCGGTCCTCAGGATGATGCCAATAGTCATATCTCATCGGCCACATCTGCATCTTAGACTACTGCTGAAACAGTTTTTCGAATTGTTGCTCAAACCATTGTCAACCAAACACCCATCTTGTTTAAAGCCCTGCTGATTGGAGTGGAGATTAACTAAACCTTACTTTATCTTTTGTTCCTCTCAATGGGACAAACTATTTTTGCTGGAGTCATAGGGTGTGGAACGTCCTTTTGCCAAAGGCAAGAGTGGATTTCTCACAGGAAAACAATCAAGACCTGTAGTAGGAACCATAGAATATAAAGCTTGGATTGAGGTTAATGCTTTAATCAGAGCATGGATCTTCAACTCCATCATACTTGAGCTACAATGAGCCTTTATTTTCTTCCAAATTGCCAAATCCTTATGGGAGAGCCTAAAAGAAAAATATGGGCAATCAAATGACTCTCTTATTTATCAATGCAAAAGGTCTATTAGCTCTCTAAAAAAAGGGGGATGACTCCATTACCACCTATATCACCAAATTGCAAGAGTTGTGGGAGGAGCTACTTATTGTCAATCCACCACTGGAGTGCACTTGTAAGACAAGTCGTAAGATACTAGAGAGGCAAGAAAACGGATCTTCTAATCTAGTTACGAAGCTGCTAAGAAACAAATTCTAATAATGAATCCATTACCAAGTATGAGCAAACCTTACCCTTTGATCATCCAAGTTTAAAAGCAGAAAGAGATTCATATTGCTGCAGAAAATAATGTATTCTTGGAAGACAACAAAAGAACACAAAGTAAAAGGTGTATTGATAAGAAAATGTTACATACATAAAAGAAAAATTCCATTTTTGAATATTGCAAAAAGAAAGGACACACTAAGGAGACTTTCTTCAAGCTAAATGGAATACCTCTTTGGTAAAAAGAAATGGCTGACAAGAAAAAACGACTTTGCCAACATACCTTAGAAATAAATTGAGTTAGTTTAAAAATTGATGTGGCCTTCAAGATTTGTCTAGATATTACTGCCTTGGTGAACTTGAAATGAAGAAACTGCTGCTGAGAAAATCCCTAGATTCACCAATTGCTAACACCAACTCAATTATTGAGTTCTCAGGATCCTATTTTGACTCAGCATATTTGGATAGTAATTCTTGGCTAATTGAAAATGGAGTTACTTGCCATATATGCATAAATGATGAGTTGTTTGAAACCTTAGAGCCTTTAACCTCAAAGCCAAAAATCTTTATTCTAAATGGATCATTTCTCCCTACTTCTTATGCAAGATCTATTAAGCTAAGTTCTCACATCATATTTAAAAGGTATACTACATGCATGCCTTTAAATACAATCTTCTATCAATAAGTGCTCTACTTAAACAGTCTATATGCAAACTTAGCTTTTCAAATGACACTTTAAATTTAGGACCTGAGCCAAACTTTACATTTTAGCCAAACATGTCTCCCCTGCCAACCACTTTACCCCTGTCCTCACCTTAGTAGAAGAATCTCTACTTTGGCATGAAAAGTTTGGACATGTTTCTGATGATACTTGTAAGCATTTATCTATGTCTATTGTTTTTAAATGTAAACCATGCGGCATTTGTCACAAGGCTAAACAAACTAGGTTGCCCTTCAATAAAAGTGTCTTTTATGCTCTATGTATTTTTGAACTTGTGCATGATAGTTAAAAACTGCATGTGTTATATGTTCATGTTATATGCGATATTTGATTGATTTTGATTGGATTCTACCTAATTTCTGTGCGTATTGTTTATTTGTGACATGCAGTAGAGAAAAAACAAATTTGGCATGATTGGAAGAAAAAATGAAGAAAAATTCAGATTTGCACCCCAGAGTTAGTCATGGCCATGACTAACTCCACCCTCTAGACATGGAAATTTAATTAAAGGTCCAAAAGTCCAACTGCTAGAAAATAGGGCAAAATTAAAAGAGAAAAGGGGAGTCACACGGAAAAAGAAGGGAGGACGGCCAGAACAAATATACACAGGAGTAGGAGACTGACAGACTCAGAGAAGATTTCCCCTCCCACTATGACTTTATCTTTCCTTTTTTGTTATTTTCTATTTGATTATGGAGTATATACATTTATGGTTTAGGGATGATAATATTTTGGTTCTTGTGTTTTGAAGATTTTTAGTTTTATTTATAAAAGTTCTTTTTGATTATCAATAGTTGTTTAATCCTGAAAATAATGTTTGTGATTGTTAGATTGATTGGATAATTTGGTATTGATATTTAAATTGGTCTGATAATCTAAAGTCAATTTAGGTAGGATATCCGTAATTGTATTCGCATTTGAATAGGTGACAATCGGGTTGAATAGTTCCTTCCCGGGGGTTAGACTATCGAACCTAGTTGCTCCTCTTAAGTAGTACTTGTTTTGAATTGGGATTTTCTAGATTAGAACGTGATTAGAAAATATTTCTTATGGGTGCACCTAGGTTTATTAGCTTAATTAAGGATAGTTAACCGTCGTACCTTAATTACCTTCACTGTAAGAAAAAATTGGTTGTCAGAGCTTATTGATAACTATAACCAAATTTATTGATACTTTAATAAAAACTAACTTTATTGAATCAATGATAAAACACAAGTACCATAACTGCATCACCCATTGAGTCAGGCATCCCCTTGATAGCGAGTCCTCCGTTAATTTAATTGTTTTGTTATTTTGTCTTCATTAGATAATATAAGAAAATTCCCCATTTTTATTTACTACATTAGAACGCGAAAGAGTGAATCACACAATCCCTGTGGAGACGATCTCGTTCCCTTGTATTGCATTAAATTATGATAACGGAATAGGTTAATTATTCGATTAACTGTGTGACAGGTCAGCGCATATGGACTTTTAGGGACCTTACATAACAACCACTATGAGTGAAAACCACTATTTCTTAACTATTGTGGATGACTACTCACGAGCTATCTGGACATACCTCATAATAAACAAGCAAAATATTTTTCAAATTATTGAAACATTTCTCCTCTATGTCCAAACACATTTCAATTACATTATCAAAAGACTCAAGATTGACAATGGTTCTGAATTCCTAAACAAACACTACAAATGATATATCAAAAAATTGACATTGTGCATCACCATTCCTGCACTTACAACCCACAACAGAATGGTATAACTGAGATAAAATACAAATACTTTCTACAATTAATCAGAGCCTTGATACTTCAAGCAAACTTTCCCTCAAGATTTTGGGGCCAGCCCTCCTACATGCTACCTATATTATTAACAGAATACCATCTTCTATTTTTGGTTGGTCTACCCCTTTTGAGAAACTTTATCTCACCAAGCCTAATATATCCAATCTAAGAGTATTTGGATGCTTATGTTATGCTGTCAATAATAAACCTACTAAAACCAAACTTGACCCAAGAGCCTACAAATGTTTGTTTCTTTGTTTCCTTGTTGGCCAAAAGGATTTTAAGCTCTATGATGTAGAAAGTAAAAAGTGGCTAGAGACATTGTATTCTATGAAAATGAGTTTCCTTACCAATCTTATGTTGATTTTGCAGTTCCTACACCACCTAACATTAATATGATATATCTAAACCAACCTCCTTTCAATAACCCACTAGGCATACCTACTCTGCAACTAACACCCAATCCAACTATCAGCCAAGATCTGCCACCAACTACACCATTTTCATCACCCAACCACTCCATTCTTTTGCCCTGATTCTACAATCAAAACTCCCATATCTGACCCTACATCCACTCAATCAACACAAGATGTCACACTTGATCTAGCCTCCAACCTTTACCCATCTATTCCAACCAGACCCAAAAGACAAACCAGAAAACCGATTTAGATGACAACTGTCAGCCCCCTTGTCATATTGCTTTCCTACTCTGACTCATCATCTTTATGTATTTGGCATAATGCATTTACTATTGATATACATGAATTAACATCCTATGTGCAGGCTCACAATGATGTTGTCTGGAGAGCTGCTAGAGGAGGAACTTGAAGAGGTCATACCTTGCCCAAAAGAAAAAAAACCCATCTTTTGTAAATGGGTGTATAGAATTAAGAGAAATGCTGATGGAAGAGTGCAAAAATTCAATGCTCAACTTGTTGCCAAAGGATACTTACAAATTTCAGGGAAAGACTATAAATAATTCTTTTCGTCAGTTTCTAAAGTTGTGATAGTGATGATATTCTTGGCAATAGCTTTCACCAAGCATTGGAAAGTTCACCAACTTGACATGAACAATGCATTCCTGCATGGCTTCCTTGAAGAAGAAATTTATATGATACCACATCAAGGAAGTCACATACCTCAAGGGAAAGTAGGCAAGCTGAACAAATCCTTCTATGGACTCAAGTAAGCTCCTAGGAAATGGTACAAGCAATTTACTACCAAGATTGTTGGGTACGGCTTTCAACAATCTACATATGACCACTGTTTATTCATACTATCTCGTGATCACTATTTTATTGCCTTGCTGGTGTATGTCGATGACATTCTTCTCACTGGCACTGATTTTCTAAAAATCATAGCAGTCAATGAATTCTTTCATCAGGAGTTCACTATTAAGAATTTTGGAGAGGCTGACCTGTTCCGTGGCATTTAGGTCACAAACACACTTTCTAGAATTAGTGTGTCTAAAAAAAAGTTCATTAAAGACATCCTTGATAAAATAGGTCTTCGTGATGCCAATCCTTGTGCCACACCTTTTGTTACTGGATGCAAATTACAGGATGCTAAGGGTGATCATCTACCAAATTTAGAAAACTACAGATGCATTGTTGGCCGCTTACTTTATCTTACAATGACAAGGCTGGACATTTTCTATGTTGTGCAATAGCTCTCTCATTTCATGGCATCCCTTAAATCCCTACAATAGAAGGCTATGCAAAGATTTCTCGAATATCTCAAACGTACTAAGCATTTTAAATTTCATTTTCCTTCTATTGGGGATCTTCATCTGGTTGCCTACTTGGATACTGATTGACGATGTTGCTTAGACACCAAAAAATCTATCACTGGTTACTGCATATGTTTGGGCTTTTGTCTTATTTCTTGGAAGATAAAGAAGCAGCCTACCATCTTTAAATCCTCCACTGAAGCTGAATACCGTGCTTAGATTCTATTGTGTCTGAAATACTTTGGCTCACCTATCTACTCCAATATTTTCATATCTAAGTGTTCTTGCCCACACCACTTTACTATGACAATCAATTCACCATTCATATGGTTCACAATGCGGTGCACCACGAGAAAACCAAACACATTGATATAGACTGTCATTTTGTTCGAGGTCACTTCCAATCTGTGCTCAATGCACCTACATTTTTCCCTTCCCACCAGCAACTAGTTGGCATCTTCACTAAGCCTCTGCCTTTAGCAGCTCTTCAAATATTTCATATCAAGATAAACTTGGGCTCATTTATCCAATTTCCTTTTGAGGGAGAGTGGTTAAAGAAAAAACTGGATATATAATTGATTGGGATATATCTTGATGGGCTAATCTAGATTAATAAATAATCCGATCAACCTAGCCCTACCACTCAGAATTCTCTGGAACCTGTTCTATTGCCTTCTCTTTGTTGTAATATTTGCCACTGCCAAGTTTCACAACATTTGTTAGGAATTTGATGGAATCAATTATATAAACTGTAACAATCATTTTGATTTAATATACATACATAATAATTTTACCTTGCTATTTCCTTTGAGTGCTCTGCTCTTCTGCACTTTTTCCCATTCCCCATCCACAACGCCCGTGACCCCGTTCCCTTTCTCATATGGCGCTCTAGTCTAGTCCCACCCCATTCCCCGATTATTCATTTAAATTTGTTATTTTCTCTTTTTGTGGTGGTGTGGGCTCCTGGTAATGGAGATTATTAGAATTTCTTGGTATTTTTTGTTGATATTTTCTAATTGAGGTGAATTTTGGGTGATGGAATCGCCAGAGGCTTTTCGGCCAGTGTCCTATGCCGATGTTGTGGCTTCAAAGAAATGCACACAAAGTGTTTGAGAATAAGAGGAGGAAACTTCACACAAATTTTATTTTAAAAAATATAATAATAATAATAATAATAATAATAATAATAATAATAAAACACGTGTCACTGCTAGTGTGTGTGAGTTCACTAACACGTCCTCAGCATCCACTAAATGATTTTTTGTTCTTCATCCACACCATCTTTCCGAGCAATTAGGGGTGTCAATATTAAATCCAACCCAAAAACTCGAACCCATTCGACCTAAAAACTTTTAGGTTTGAGTTTGGGTGTTTCGGATTGTAAAAACAAGGTCAACCCGAACCTGAAACAAAAAAAAAAAAAAATCAAGTCGGATCAAGTCAGGTTTCAGATTGATGTGATAACCCGAAATATATAAATCAAATCGAGTTTCGGGGTTGACTTGGAATTATATATATTTATTTTAATTTATAATGTTTACATTGTATTACAAATAATATAATATAAAAACTTAAAATATAAAAAATAATCAAAATACAAAATATGAATTCTAAAAATCAAAACTTTAAATAATTAATACTACATAAGTTAGTGGATTTTTTCAAGATAAATTTAAAATTATTCAAGTTTTCAGGTTTGTTTCGTGTCAGTTTGTTTGGGTTATCAGGTGACCTGAAACTAAATCAGATTAACCTGAACCTGACCCGAAAAAATTCATATCGTGTTCGGGTATGAGGTTTCGAGTCAGAATTTAGGTTCTGATCGTATTTGGATTGACATATATTTTGTTACACCCACATCTCAATACAACACAAACATGATCCGAAAATATGAATTGACACTCTACGAGCAATGTTGAAGTAGCGTACATTGATTGCACTCCTTGTTGGAAGCAATGGCTCCAAGCCAATCTCTCACATTATGCTTCTTCAAATATTCATTTATCAAATACTTGAGATACCTTTCGAAAATGTCATGTTTTCCGTCACAATTATCTTATTTTTATCACGGGTGACGGTAACAAAAATCTCCTCTAGCTCCGTCCTTGCCACCAATCTTAATTCTTTCAAGTAAGAACTTTTGTACCGACACAATCTCCATGAACCCTAGACCTTAAACCCAATATCCATGATTATCTTGTTGAGTTGAGGTGTCGAATTTTTACAAAATATCAAGTGTGTTTAGTGCGTTTATGTATGCTTTGAATTTTGAATATTTAAAATTTGAACATGAATAGTTTGGCATGATATAGATAAGTATTACTGTGACATTTTAAAATGAAATTAAATTTTAATATAATATAAATAAAAATATTTGACTTGATGTTTTGAAAGATTAAAAATTAAGTGAATAGTAAAAATTAATGAACAGTGTGATTTCAAATAAAATCTTAAACAAAAGATTTTGGAGTTTTAAAAAATTTAAAAATAGTAAAAATTTAGAATTTGATGTGACATTTTATGATAAAAAAAAATATACTCCTTTTGTCATCCAAACGTATTCTCACTTTCTTTTATTGGTTGTCATCGAAATTTATTTATGTTTCCTCTTTTAGTAAAAAAAACATCATTTTTCCCACGTTTCTCTACTATAGAAGGATTTTTTTATTCATCTTTATAAAAATTCGTGTCCAATCAAATGAGCATAATTTAACATGATATAAGGAGTATTTAATTTGATATTTACAAAAATTACTGTAAATAAATAATGCCAAAAGTTCCAAAAATTTCAAAATTGTTTGTGTAAACAAAGCCCAAAGTCTTAAACAAAATATTACTTCATTCTTCTACATCAACCAAATTTTGCAATAATTTTTTAGGTTTGTCAATAAGTAATACACATTGTTACAGAAGACATACAATGTCTATCATAACCTAGAATTGTAATTACGAGTTGAACATATTTTACAAATGATTAAAAATATAAGGCTTTTTTTTTTTTTTTTTTTCGATAACCTGGAAATCCGCAAACGTATTAAAACTTGATATTTGAAATTAAATAATGTGTTGTTGGCAATTACTTCAAAAATGCCAACAAAAATGGCACCTTTTTATTTTGCCTATGGAAACTTGTTTTTCTTTTTGGATGACGTGGGAACCCGCAGCTGCTATCCCAAAGTGCGCACTCGTAAACCCCCGGCCGAACCTAATACCTTGCAAACCAGGTCCGACGGGGAAGTCACATTAGGCGAACCATGTGTGGCAGGTGACCTAAGACAACTTGTTATTTTTCACTTGTGTTGGGGGTGTAAAGCACAATAGGCAATATAATTCTTGAAATTTAATATTGTGTCAACTCAGCTAAAACACAAGCATTTGATGGATTTGCTATTTCGTATTATAAATGCTAAATTATATGAAAAGAAGACTTAGGGGGATTCACCATAAACATTTCATGAAAAAAAAAAAAAAATAATTTTTTTCGCTTGACACTTTCAAATTGCACTTATTTATGGATAAGCGTTGCTCGTGTTATGCTGGAACTAAACAATTATTTTCGCTTGACAATTTCAAATTGCAATAATTTATGGACAAGCTTCGCTCGTGTTAGGCTGGAACTTATATCGTCATACAAGTGATTCCTAACGACATTATGAAATTTTACAAACTATGATCCTCTAATGACCATAATGACTTTTCTTTTAAGTGAAATATATTTAAAGCTCTACACCGAAAAATATTCTATTCTTTGCGATTTACTTTTGATTTTTTCTTAGGAATCCTGTATCAATCATTCATATCTACATTCATTGTTTTGGTCTCAATTGTATCCTTTTACATTCTTTCTACCAATCTTGATTTTTTTTTAAAAAATTTCTTTCACTTTCCAATTCACAAGTTATTGTTTTACGTCTTTTCTTTTTATGGCTTTGTTTGATTTCTCCTTTGTTTGTATTTTATTTAATACTCCCTCCGTCCGCTTACAAAGTTTACATTTTTCATTTTGGGTTGTCAAATTACAAAGTTTATATTTCATTTTTTTTACTATGTGTGGATCCCACCACATATTACTCATACTCTTACTTTTACCTTTATTTACATAAATACTATTACATTTATTTATACGTCTATTTTTAAATAAATACAATTATTAAATTAAAATAAAACACAACAATTAAACACACATTCTAAAATAAAAACGTTTTTATTGAAACATACCTTATCATATTCATTTTCATCGATCCTTTGGTGTCCTGAGGCTTTTCTCACAATCTTCATATTCGTCGTTCTCTCTGGATCTTGCTTCCTCCATTGCCGTCGACCACCAATATGGCGCAAAATCATTTCAATCGCGATCGATTGGAGAATTTATCAAGGGATTCTCCTGCGGCTTTACCCGTCGATCTCATTCGAAAGTCGCCTGAGAAGCCCTATTCCGATCTTTCTCTCTTCGACACTGATCATTATAGATCATGGTATTGGAGACGTGTGGGACCTTCGACGATGAGCTTGAGACTTTCGAGACGGGGGGCTTTTGGCATTTTATTGAGAGACCTTGCTCGGTTACGGGCTCGGAATCTTTGACCTCTGAGGTGCCAGAATCGCCCCACCTGTACTCTGGTTGGGTTGTGCCAGACTCCGAGGATGCCTTCTTCTATCCTTCGCCATTTTTCGTTCAAAAAGAAATGACAAAAAAAAACCCTTATAGCCGGAATCGATGCTCGTAGCCGCCGTGACATGTTTCTTCAGTTCTTGAGGATTTACTATCCTCTTGCGACCACCTTGCCCGAGTACTCTGAGGTATAACTTCTATGGCTTTTTTTAAAGTACTTGAAGCTGAGAATTTCAATTTTAGTGGCTGAAATGATGAATTTTTGTGTTGATTATGTGCAATGTAGGTTGTTGGTTGTGTGTAGTGCATATTGTTTATGGATGGCTTACTCTATGAGTAATGCATCAGATATGCGCATGATTATTTGCATAAACAGCTCTTACTCGATGAGGATTTTCTTCTGAGAGTGTATTGATCGTGCATAGTTATAATGGATGCTTACTGTATAAGTAATGCAACTACTGTGCATTTAAATTTGTAGTCACTGTCCCCCACTCGATGAAGGTTATCATCCGAGAGTCTACTGATTGTGTTCTTTTATGGCTCTGTGATGCATATTGTATTTGGAGACTTACTTTTGAAGTAATGCAACCATTGTGTATTTGAATTTGTAGCCACTCCCTCTCCACTCAATGAAGGTTATCATTTGAGAGTGCAATGATTGTGTTCTTCGATGGTCCTATGATGCATATTGTATTTGGAGGCTTACTTTTAAAGTAATGCAACCACATTTAGGTAAGGAATCTTATAATTGTTTGATCCGAGATTAGCCATTATCCACCAAGGCATGCTTGCAAACTTAGAAAAACTGAGTTTAGAGCGGTATGTGACAGTTGTTCAAATGATTTATGAACTACTCTAAGCAAGTCAATGATTGTGGTACCTGGCTGTGTAATTTGTAAAGATTGCAATGCCCGGAACCATCCCAAGTCATTCACATTTTTGTTTGGGTTGTTTGGTGGTTGAAACACCAAATTGATGTTCCATTCAACGGTGCTTGATGCCTGTCTGAAATCTGGATCAAAGTTGTTGATGTGCGGCTTTACATTATCTTGTTGAATAGTGACATTTTTGTTCCTATTAGTTGGCCACTTCTCTTTTATTGTTGGTATCACCTGTTATAAAGTCACAAATGAGGATTACTCGCGTAATTATTATTTAGGAGACTTATACTTGTGATTGATATCTTAATGATAAAATATTTCTGAGGGATAAAGAAGTCTAGTTATAAGAATACAAAGTGAAACAACATACCTTGTTGATTAAAAGTTCCTTTGTGACTTCTTTTGTGATGGATTCTAATGGTTTTGTAACCATTGTCCCGGCTGCTCTATTCTTTGAACTTCTTTGTGCTGGAACCTGTTCTGTAAAAGGGAAAATACTTATTTTCTCATCGAATATGCATTCTCCATTGCTTGTATACATCGGTCTAGAAACTGCACATAAGAACATTACCTTTGTAATGTATTTTTTACTCTAACATGCCCTATACGGCTCTGGCTCATCGGGTACTAGATAGAATCTTTCTGTCTCCCTTGTAAGATTAAACCACTCCTTATCTATGTGCACAACTTATGTCATGCTTTGGAATTTGATTACTTTTGAGGCACTATCAATATGTAGTTAATTGAGGCTGAACTTCAGCCTCTCTATCTTGTTTTTCTCGATGAGGGAAGACTTGATAGCATTGGTGTGTGGTCTGATCAGCCCCGATTTTTCCAATTCCCGACAGTGCTCTTCCTTACATTAATCTCTTTCGCAATATTTCTATAAGTCTCTCTCTTGTGCACAATTATATTTTGTAAAACTATTTTATCAAACTCCTTCCTCTTAACCCGAGGAAGGTCTGTTTTCTTATTTTTTTTTTAAAGAAATTGGCTGACATGACTGAATTTGCTCGTGTGCTCTTTTCCAAATTTGATTGATGACTTGTCTACTTACACCATACTTTAAACTTACTTCAGTAATTTTCCTATGAACTAGTTTCCTGTTGGTAGACCCCTGCAACAAAAATTGTGCAATGCAATTAAGATCATAGGCCGCTAAATTTTGCTTTTTCATATTTCCAGCCATTGTGAAATGAGTGGCTGGAATATGTAATTTTTATGATGTATATATAGTGTATTTTAATGAGGGGAATGTATATTTGGTAATGGAGGGAAACTTTCCCTTTGATGAGAAGGGTTAAGATGATGTGACAATGATGTGATTATCCGTATTTGGGAGGGAAATGAATTATATTTTGGAAGATGTTTGTGCACTGGTTTTTATTTGTGTCACTGCAATTTTTAGTGTAATGCCATGATGATTTATTGCGATTTCTACTGATATATTGTGTTGTCTACTGATTTTTCCTTCTTAATGTATGATGTTATAGTAAAATTAAGGTTTGTCTATTGATTTTCCCTTCTCGATGATGTTACGAAATGATAATGGTTTGTGCACTATTTTTTTTCTAATTACATACACTTTTTTTTTTTTTAATATGAACACTGTCTACTTAATTATGTGCATTGTAAATTAAGATTTGTGCACTGTAATTAATTATGTAAATTGTAAAATTGATTTTAATTTTGTAAATTTAATTACGTAGTTTTAATTTTAATTATAGTAGTTATTTTATTTATTTTGTAATCTTGCTAGTAATTCTGTAATTATCCCTGTAATTTTAATTATACTATAAACTTGCTCTTTTTTGTATACTTTAATTTTTATTATTTTTCGTGCAAAGTACATTAATTATATTAACCTAAATCACCACTCAATTACAAAGCAAAAAAGAAAAAAAAAAAGTACTATAGGTTGTATTGATATTTCTACATCAAAACTATATCAACTATCATTAAAAATACAATATTTCTTAAATAACGTGCAAAAAACATATGTCAACATTTAAGATGGACGAAAGGGAGTATTTTTTATTTTTATTTTTATCATAGTTACGATGGAGAAGAAAAGTGCTTTCACAAGAAAGAAGACCAAAAAATATTGAGGTAGAAAATCTTGAATAGCATAAAAAACATCATGTGTTAGCGGAAGCTCCTCAATCAAGTACAAAATGAAAACAAGCAAAAGTGGGCACACCATATCTATAATTTGATTTGGTCTGCAGAGGTGACAAAGGCCGCAATTTGAATCCAACGTGCTTTTTATAGACATATTGCACAGAAATGTTAACGAGCTCAAACAAGTCAAATTTTAAGTGTTTGTGTGCATTCTTCATCATTTTTAAACAAGACTCGTTTTCGTTCGTTAAGCATTCGAGTTTATTTGTAGTGTTCGAGCTTTATTCTTTAGCAATCTCATTGTTCAACTTTGTGTTCGGCTCGATTAAACTTGTTTGAGCTCGATTGAGGTAATTCGAACTTGTTTAAATAGGTATGATATTTTGTTTTTTAATTTTTATATATCACATTTATTTATTTATTTTTAATTAATAATTTCATATATATTACAAATATGTCATTCTAACAAACATTCATAAAAATGGTTCAGGCTTGTTTATAGAAAAAACGAGCTTATTTATATCATTTGAATCGGCTCATTTAAATTTGCAAACGAACTTAAACTAAGTCAAATTTACGAACGACTTAAATTGTTTAACAATTCTAATGTTGCTTAACTTAGCAAAAAGAAAAAAAAAAAAAAAAAAAGCTAAAGCAAAGATTGTTGCATATGCTTCAACTTCAATGGCCACTTTTCCAAATCACCTCACTAACCAACCAACCAACCCACAACAATAGCAATGATTAAGCAAAAACTTTGCTAGCTAATGACATGGAACTTGATTCTATTACCATTTTATAGTACAGGCAAACATGATATATGCTCTTGAATAAATGTAGGAACAAATGGACTAACAAATTGACCTTCTTGAATAATATCTGGATCTGATTGCCACAATCCATCATTAGTATTTTTTTTTCTTTTTCTGAAATTTCATGCTAATTTTAAATTGCATTTATTATGGATTGTGTGCCTAATTGTTGAAGTTTTGTATGTCACGTATGTCTCAATTTTATTGGTTGGAATATGAAAATAGAGAAATTATGATAAAGAAATTCATCCTATATTATTTTTTTAATATTACTGTTTTCTCTATTTTATTGTTGATGTGTTCTTGTTTCATTCATATTTTATCAATTCGAATATTTTTTAATTTAATTTCTATTCCGGCCATTGTTCTTGTTTCATACGGTTGGTTTATTTTGATTTTTGGTGTGATTATTTAAACTATTCGACACAATTTCAATTTTTTTCCTGGTCAAAATCGAAAAATTTCGACTATCTATGCTGTTGAAAATGATTTCAAGCCACAAGAACTATATAGCACACCTAAATATATATAGATATTTTACATATTTTTACTTAGCTCAATACGTGAGATGCAATTAGGTATTTAGGTTCAGTTGCTTCAGATGACGAGTGTAATTACATGAAGGCAGTGCATGACATTGGATCGTCGGTGTACACTTAGGCTTTGGGCCCGGCTCCGTTTATACAGAGGTTTTTTAGAGAGTTTTGGAAATTTGAAAAAAAAAATAGAGTATTTGATTTGATGTTTTGTGAGAGAAAAAATTTATTAGATGTGATATTTTTCGAAAAAATTAAATAGCGTCCAATTGAGCGAAAATTTGTCAAGTAAACAAAGCCGACCTTCATTCCTTCAATTATTGCATCATTTAAGACTAAAGTTTGGATGGTTGTCTCTGATCATTAAGGAGTTATGTAAGAACGATGCGATGGATGCGAAATTAAAATTGCGGTGAGAGAGAGAGCTTGATGAAAATTTTAGGGAGAGAGGGAATAGCCGACATAATTGTTATTCAATAACCAACCTACCAACCTACCTGTAAGTTCTTCTTCAGCTCCACCCGGCATTGGCAGCGGGCGGGGACTTCGATTCTGATTCTGCGCACTTGTGTGACAATTGTGAGTCCAATCTTTTCCTTCTCTTCGTTGATTTGATTTGCACCAATTTTGGCATTTGTTCCCCCAATCCAATTTCATCAATTTGGAAGTAATCGTCGAGGATTCGCAGTGTAGTATTGGCCGAATTCCTTCCGCCGATCCGTACGCGAAATAGCTGCTGTTTACTTGTACCGTATCATGATATGATTTGATGCGACTCCCCGGATGGATACAGATCTGTGCCGGCGGAATCAAATGAATGCATTACTTACGATACGGTTGCGAACTTGCAATTGCACAGATCATAGAGCTAGCAATGGCAATCGGTCTGTTTCACGTTGGGTTGAATACTTTAAATTTAAATTAATGAATTTTTGTGTTAATCCATTTATTATTGATGATGATCTGTATAGATAATTAAATTGAAATTTTTTATTCAAATTAAATAATTTTTTTTGCTGTGTATTATCGTATTAAGTTAGTTTTTGTTAGTTTGATTGTAAATTAAATTAAATTATTTAGTTTAAATTAATTTATAAAAAAATTATTAAATTAAGATTATTTTATATATATAATAAATATATTAATCAATATTAATATATTATAATAGTGATGTTCAATTGGGTTCAAATTGAGATCCTCGATTCAAATCCCGTTGGTTTTGGATTCGTATAAACTCGTGTATATAATTATATTGAAATCTTTTACCTAAAGTTAATTATTTTTTGTAGAGTTGGTGTCGGATTGTCTTGTCTGTTCTTTACCGACTCTAACAAAACATAATCCATCCTTACCGTTTATTTTTTTTTTTTACAAATTATTATTATTGTTATTATTATAAATCTTCTTAACTGACATGCTTCGGCACGACGGTTGGGAGATTACCATAGTCGACTCTACCATCGGAAAATCATTTATCATTCTAGTTCTCCGATCCAACTGTACTGTTCCTCATTTTTTGGCAATGCTGGTTTTCTTCTTTTGCTTTGATTATCTCATCTCGCCATTTACGTTCTAGATCTCTCTGTTATATTCAGATCTCAGCTTCTTTCCATGGGGGATTCGGTGGATAGCAATGACCTGTCGATCCCGCCCCTGCCACTGCTCGAAAGGCTCAAAGATTACGGTCAAGAAGACGTTTTTGCCTGCTGGAACGAGCTCTCCGCTGAAGAGCGTCACCTCCTCGTCAAGGACATCGAGGTATTTATTACCTTGTTGCTCTTTCTGTTCTCCTTACTCTGTGCCAATCAAGATTTGAGATTTTCGTTCCTTGTATATCCAAGTACAGCGAGATTAGTTATTGATTGTAACTGGAATTGGTTTTCCAAGTTAGGATATGAACTGTGCTTATTGTTGAGTTTTTATGATTTATTTTTGGGTGGTTTGGTTTATAACAATTCACATTAATTTTATTCAATCTAGCAAAAGGAGCTTACTTCTTCCCCAGTTACTCAGTGAAGATCATGCCAAACGACTCTATTTGGGTCAATTGTTTATACAAATTGGAGCTTTTGTTTATTTTCTGAATTTTAAGTTCCCTGTGACTTTGTTGCAGGCCCTGGATCTTCCTCGTATAGATCGGATTATTCGCTGCTCATTCCAGTCACAAGGTTCCTCTTTTACAATATGCACTCTACATGTAGATTTCGAGTACTTTTGGATGTACTTCTTAATGTTAAAATGATTGATTAGGTATTCCGAAAGCAGCTATAGAGCCAGTCCCAGAGAGCAATGTATCTACAGTAGAAAACCGGACAATGGAAGAACGGGAGAAGTGGTGGAAGATGGGATTAAAAGCCATCTTGGAGGGGAAATTGGGTGTGCTGCTTCTATCAGGTGGACAGGTTTGTCAGTCCTTTGTTATTTATCCATTCAAGATAAAGAACCAAGCCTATAAAATGCCGTGCACTTGTTAAAATAATATATGGATTTGAGGGCCACTTTATGCCATGTTGGGTGGAATGGTGTTGTCTATTCACATGTGACAGTTGAAAATAGGTTTTTAGTTAAATCCAATCATCTGCTTCGGGTTGGCTGCTCATGAAACTGGTGATGGGATCTTTTTGTTAAAAGACTAATGGAAATTACTGTGTACTTTCATTTCTTTTATGAGCGCCAAATCTTAAGAAAATGCAATTAACTTTTGCTCCATCTATTTGAAGCATGGCACATAAAGCACTTGTAATAGAGCAGTTCCATTGAGAGGTTTAAAGCCATTTGTTCTTCTCTCTTACAATGTATAATGCTGTTCATATAATCTGATGTGAAATATTACAATTTATTTCAGGCTAGTCACTGCTATATTTTGAAGTTGCAAACAAATGATTCACATTTCTAGGCGAATTCTTATATGAAATATTCTTTTCAGTTCTGGAACTACTGCTGTAGATTAATATTTCCACTATACAAAGCAACTTCTTATGTGCAGCTGTTTGATTGGGTTCTTGATTGTTCCTGTCTTGATTTTGAAACCTTTGTATATAGGGAACTCGGCTTGGAAGTTCAGATCCAAAAGGCTGTTTCAGTAAGTAATGACATTTTTTTCCTGATTACACTAAATGTACCAAATTAGTATTTGAGAGGGCGTTTTTCATTTTTATCTAATCTCAACTTCATATTATGTTTTACAAAGTATTGTGTGCTTACCCCTCAGAACAACTGGAAAACAATGAAACATTGATCTTGACTCATTTATCCTCTGTTTGCTGCTTCCAAGTAATTGAAAGCATTTTGTGTATCAGATTTTGTAATATATGTTTCTTTTATTACATGTGAATCCAAGTCTTGACTTGATTTTGACAGTATCTAATACATGAGTGCACATTCTACAAGTGTGTTCTGTTTTTATTTTAGAAAATGCATTTTCTTTGGAAAAGTATTATATACAGTGCCTAAGTCTTGTTTATATTGCAGACATTGGGCTTCCATCTGGAAAATCACTTTTTCAACTTCAAGCTGAGCGCATTCTACGTGTTCAAATGCTGGCAGCTCAATCCGTCAATGAGGGTGGGTCTCCTTTTCTACGCAACAGTTTATCTTCAATTGTTTGACTCGAATCCGTTCATTTTGGCAGATGCAGGTTCTGCTCGTGTTACTCCTATTCATTGGTATATAATGACTAGTCCATTTACTGATGAAGCGACCCGTAAATTCTTTGAAAACCATAAATATTTTGGCCTTGAAGCAGACCAGGTTAAGTGTTTTGACCTTGTTATGTCAATTTCATGCTTTTAAATACCGAAGCCTAACAAACTGAATTGATTCTAGGTCACCTTCTTCCAGCAGGGTACCATTCCCTGTGTGTCAAGAGATGGGAGATTTATCATGGAAACACCTTACAAAGTAGGGATTATTCTCAGTTATTTTCATTTCAACCACATTATTTTTTTATGTGCAAGTTGTCTTACGCCTCAGTTGGAAATATGTCTACATTGATAAATAATTTTTTAATTTGGTCTTATTATTGGTAATCATTAGCATGCTTGCTTGTTTATGTTTCAACTAGAATGGTTTTCGGTTCATTCTGTTCAGGTTTTATATTTTGCTCTTTTCGGTTACTATTATTTATACATATTCTCAAATATATCCTGAAGTTTACCTGCATGCATTTGTAATTATCTAATTTTATGAAGCCAGGTAGCTAAATCTCCTGATGGAAATGGAGGTGTTTATTTAGGTACACTATGTTAAAACGATTTGCATGTATCTCTTACAATCAGAAACCTGTAAGAACACATTGTGCCTTATTATGTGAAAAAATGTTGCAGCTTTAAAATCTTCAGGGTTGTTGGAAGATATGGCTATGAGAGGCATAAAATACTTGGATTGTTATGGAGTTGACAATGCTTTGGTAGTATTCCTTCTCTTTCATACCTCCCTTTAGTTTTCATGTTGTATTTATCTCAACATATTTTATGCTTACCATCAAACTTGAATGTTCTACAAACAGGTACGTGTTGCAGATCCCACATTTTTGGGTTACTTCATCGAAGCAGGTGTAGCTTCTGCAGCCAAAGTTGTCCGAAAGGTGATTTTATATTTCTCCAAAGTGATAAGTGTTATGCATCACTATTTAAGGTGTCCTCTTTTTATTGTGTTTTAGGCATATCCACAAGAGAAAGTTGGTGTATTTGTTCAAAGAGGGAAAGGGGGGCCTGTCTCTGTGGTTGAATACAGTGAACTTGATCAGTCACTGGCTAGTGAAATTAATCAGGGAACTGGTCGCCTTCGCTATTGTTGGAGTAATGTATTGTCCTTCCCTAATATCTTTTTAACATCTCTTCATTTTGTACACACTTCTTTTAGGTTTTAAATAGATGTGTGTGAAGAAATCGTTGTTGTGTGTCTCGAAGTGTGTTGAAGTACTAAAAAAATTAATCATAATTATGTTGACGATTCATTAACTAATCGAATTACAAGTTACTAAACTAATCTGAAAATTTGGAAAGTGCATTTATTTGGAAATATTTGATAAGATAGATTGAACCCATAAAACCTTTTTCTTTACCATCATCCCAATATATGATGTTCCACAAACAAAACAAAAAATAATATTCTGCGTAACACTCCTTTCAGGACAGTGGCATTTCAATCCATAATAATATCTTCTTTTGCTGTTAGGACCTAGGATTGATGCATTTAGCAAGCCATCTCAGATTCTTCATTGAAATTGGATTTATATTTTGAGTAATTATTTTGTGATTTGAAAGCCATTTTACCTGGAATTATTTGAAGTTCTTTCCAGAAATATCCCTCATATTCAAGTATGTGATACCGCATGGGACCTTGAACATGTGTATGCTTCTGCCACGTACAATTTAACATGATGATATGAAGTTATCTACTCATCACTGATTGCAAATTACATGCATATTTAAATGAGTTTTTTTTTTTTTTTTGTTAGTGATGAATTTGAATAATGACTAGATTCTTAATTAATGTTCAAACTTGATTTTGATTAGTTTACATTGATAGTGTTATTTATATCTTCTGATTTACCCTTGTCCACCTAATGACAAATGAATTACTTTTCCGAATATTTTTTCTTTTTCACTTTTTTTGGCATGCTTGAAAATGATTAAGTGGCTGTCCAGAAAAATTCATCGGAATTGTGCCTCCTTTCAAAAGCCCCGAACATAATCAATTTTCTTTAACCCTTTCAAAGTAACTTATTTACTTTTCTTGCCCAAGTATTCAAGGAGGTATAAAGCCAAAGTGATATGATTTGCAACAACAGATATATATAGAAAAAATTCTGTTGTACAAGATGTAAGTTCTGTTGAGTCTAAATTTAAGGCATCTTTACCTTACCCTTTCTCCATTAGAATAAATCATTACTAGATTATAGTTGTGTCCTTGTCATTTCTGAGGGCAAAGATATCTAGTTCGTGGAGAATGTAAAGTAAAAGCTGTCAACTTCTTTCTCTATCAAAGATAAACATTACTAGATTATTGTTTCATAAACAGGAAAATATATAGTCTGAGGAGAATGTAAAAGATGAATCTGCGCATGACTCCACCAAAAGCTGTCACAAGTCACCTGCTTGCTTGTTACCCAATTCATGTTTGCAGGAGGATGTATTGGTATTAATTTCGTATTGTCTGGCAGACTGGCACATAGTTATTGTTAAGATAGTAAAATCTTATATAAGGTTATTGTTGTTTCTCTTGAACTAATTTAGTCCTATCATTATACATGCAATGTTGATGGGGCTTGAATATTTGATCAAGCTCATTATCCCAAACTCTCAATCTTAACAGTAGTTATCTTCAAAATTGAAGGAATAGAACTGATCATCTGCTTGTTCTTGTTTGGGGCTGTCGGCGTATCTTCTTAAAGACAGTACCTTTTATATACATCCTCTGTATTCATATCTCTGGTTTGCCTTGATCATTTCAGGTTTGCCTACATATGTTCACTTTAGATTTTCTGAACCAAGTGGCAAATGGCCTTGAGAAAGATAGCATGTCAGTAACACTTTCTCTCTCTCTCTCTCTCTCTCTCTCTCTCTCTCTCTCTCTCTCTCTCTCTCTCTCTCTCTCCTCTGCTGCATATTCCCTTGTGTTTGTACAGTTCTGGTCATGCCCCCAGTGTCTCTCTGTTTTCTTGTAGCAATATTTTTATTATTAAAGAACTTGCCTGCATGCTATGACACTTTAGAAATAGTTCACTTTGGTGTTTTTTTAGTTGCAGTGTATTCGGAGCCAGTAGATAAAACTTTGTTAGGGAAACATATAACTGCAAGTCAGACTTTCTGTTAAAGCCAACAACTTAACGGATTTCACATTGATGCCAAGTGCAGCTACCATCTTGCAGAAAAGAGTATCCCCTCTATTCATGGACACACAGTTGGGTTCAAACTAGAGCAATTTATATTTGATGCATTTCCGTATGCACCTTCAACTGCTCTCTTTGAGGTATGTATGTTGTTTAGATTCAAACAAATTGAATAAATAAAATTTGAAACACAAATTTTAGTTTGGATCCATAGTTGTTTTGTTGTACTCAACTCCATAGGTGGTCCGTGAAGAAGAATTTGCACCTGTGAAGAATGCAAATGGATCAAATTTTGATACTCCAGACAGCGCTCGATTGTTGGTCCTTCGGCTGCATGCTCGTTGGGTGGCTGCTACTGGAGGGTTTTTGACTCATTCGGTGCCCCTCTATGCAACTGGTAGAGATTTATATTCTATAAAAAATATGAAATTAAAAGAAAGAATGAAAATAAATAAATTAGAGGGGCAAGTGATGTTTTTCTTCTTGTAATTTATAATGGGTGGCAATGATGATATCAGGTGTGGAAGTTTCACCCCTTTGCTCATATGCTGGAGAAGACCTTGAGGCAATATGCCGTGGAAGAACATTTCACGCACCTTGTGAGATTACCTTCTAATTCTCATCATAGTAATTAAGCTTGATGATCATTATTACCGTATTGATGGGTATGATATATGGTTGAGTATGAGATGCGTGACCATGATTAATGGATATATATATATATATATAGTCTGGTTGCTCTGATTATTATTTGGTATTATTAGCTGCTGCTGCTGTTTACACACACTCACACACACACACTATGAGTCTATGAGTATGAGTATTGAGTATTGAGAAGTAAGTAGTAGCAGCAGCAGTTAATTGGTTGTTGTGGGTTGGGGTTATCCAATACTTGACTACTACTACTGCGACTTCATGTGAAGTATGAAGATTGTAGTTGAGATCCAGGGAGATGTCACACTACTTCATTTCCATATGAAGATAGTACTTGAGACAGACACTGTATTTAGACTTGCCCAAATGGTTCACGGTTTGTCAGAATTTTAAATTAAAATCGAACCTTTCGAATAACAGTATATTGAGGAGGAACACCCGTTCGTTTGTTTATCTATAATTTGACGCATTAATGATGCTTTTTACCTGTGGTTTGGATTAATTTTTGTTTCAACTTTTTTCTTTTTTCTTTTTTTTTTTTCTAAGATCATCTCCAACCTATCATCTCCATTTATTCAGTATTAACTCTAAATATGCAGTGTAATTTTACTTTAACCATAACTCCATTTTTCACTATTATTCTTCAAATATTCAATTTTTTCTATTATTTTAAACAACTTTTTATTTTTAAAATTTAAAATAAAATTTTAGAAAATTTCAAAAAATAAAAATTAAATTTATAATTTTAAAAAATAAAAAAATTAAAAAAATAATAATAAATAAATGGCGTTTTGCTACTGTGCAACACCACTGTAGCAAACTCTAAATTTGGTGCATGAAATGGCGTTGGATTGGAGCACCATCGCGGCAAAAATGGTGTTGAAACACCATGAGCATGGTTGGAGATGCTCTTATGAATAATTAGTACAATGTGATATTAAAGATAAAAATTAGTTATGAAGTTAGATTCTTATATTTATATAAAATATTCAGTCAGCTTTTAAAGTGAATTTATTTTTTTACACGCACATTAAAGATTATTAATATTTAGTAGTAGTCGGTTTTATTTAATTATGTAAAGATATTTATGTACTTATTAAAAAATAATGATATGTAATACACATCACTTACTGTGTTGATGATGATTGAGTCAAATCAAAGTGTTAATTAGATTCAATAAACATATATTTATAAATGAAGTAGCAAATATTAATATTGTATATAATAAATATTTTAATAGTAAATTATATAATTATATGTAACAAAATATAAGTTTAATTTTAGCACAATATATTCGGATTCACTTAGCACATATTTATATAAAAAAACATAAGTATATTAATATATAAAAAATATTTCAATAGAAAATTATATACTTATATACTCCCTCCGTCCGCTTACAAAGTTTACATATTTTTATTTTGGGACATCCATTTACAAAGTTTACATTTCATTAAAAACCCTACTTTTTTTCACAGACGTCACATCATTACTTTTACACAAAAAAGTAAGGGCAAAAATGTCATTATACTACTTTTAACTACTCACTATAATTAAAATACTATTATTTCTCAAACACCGCGCCAAAAGTAAATGTAACCCTTGTAAATAGACGGAGGGAGTATAATAAAATATAATTCAGATTTCAACATAATATAAGCATATTATTAAGTACAACATAATATATAACACAAATAATAAATATTAATACAATATATAACATAATATATTATATAATTACATGTAACATAATATATGTTGATTTCAGTATAAAATATAATTCACACAACATGTATTTCTATATAACACACTATATGTTTTGTGATGATTTGCTAATAATTTCAAATTAATGTGCTAAATTGGAGAATTATTGTCCATACTTGGTATTTAAGTGATTGTATCTTAGGTTCTCGATTTTTTATTATTTTTTTAAAAAAATTATTCTAAGTCAAATAAGATTTTAAAAAAGTAGACCTAACAGGGGTCTTAAAAATTACTTAAATATACAAAATTGAGGAGTTCTCATACTTTAAATTTAAATTAAAAAATTTTTAGTAACTGTGAGTATTATATGTATCTTGTGGAAATAATTATATTTATTTTATTATTACATTATCATAAGTTTTTGTGGAAATAGTTGAAATTTGACATTGGACATTTGTTTAAAAAATTAATAAAATATTAATGCTACATTATATAAAATTATTTAAAAATAAAAAGATTTTAAAATTCATATTAAAAAATTATCAATATCGATAAATGAAAAAAAAATAATAAAATACAAAAATAAATATATCACACGCATTAGAAATATGTATGTGTTATACATCACTTTATTAATAGGTGTCATTCATGTGCAATATACATTAATTTTAATTACCTTGTGCCATATAATGAAGTTGATGACTAAGCAATATTTACATTGCTTATAAATAGCCATAACATGAATGAAAAGAAAAAAAGATTTAATTGCTCTTTCTCTCTCTCGTCTCTTGATCTTTCTCTCTCTAAATTATATATATTCACACCCATACATATATATATATATAAACACACTTGTATTTATTTATTTAGCTCTCTACTTATTTATATATATTATATATTATTATTAGTAGTAGTAATTTCATATTTTGTTATATATTATATAACAGTATGAAACATTTTCTAACATTTTATAAAATTAACAAAACATTTTAAATCTATAAAAAAAGATTTATTCTAATAATATATAGAATTTATATGAATAAAATATAATAAAATATTCAACAACATTAAAAATAAAAAAAGAAAAGAAAGAAAAAATTAACGGTAAAAAATAAAAATTTTAAAACACTTTGGATTTAAATTTAAGGAGTTCTGAAAACTCTTTAAATATATTATTAGAACTTCTTAAATTTAAATGCAAGGAGTTCTAAACTCCTCAATTTTATCTATTTAAGTAGTTCCCGTAATTACTACGAAGTTTACTTTTATTATTCCTTTTTTTTCTTTTTAAATCCTACTTCTTCTTTTTTTGTGTGTTTGTTTGAATGTTTGAATTTGAAATTTGAAATTTGAATAGTAAAAAATTTAAATTAGAATAATTATATAATATTATATAAATAAGTAATGATATGATATTTTAAATGTAAAAATAATTTTAGTATAATAATAAAAGTAAAAGATAAATATTTGATTTAATATTTCGGAGGAAGAGAAGTTAGGTAAATAGTAAAAAATTTGTAAAATTTGATAAAGGAGAACACCTTGTGATTAAGTTAACATTGCAACATTTATGTAGAAATTTGGTGCTTTGAGTTGAATTTTTCATTCTATTTTGGAAGAGCCCCACTGGTTTAAAAATTTGGGGATTCCACTTATATCCACTTATTATAGGTTACACAAGAATTTAGATAAAAAATTAATTAGTAAGTAATTACGAAGTATATTAATAAGAAAGGTAAACTATTTTTTTAGTCTCATAACTGGACCCCCTTGTCACTTTAGTCCTGTAAGTGGAGCATGTCGCAAACTAGTCCCATAAGTAAAAGATTTTCGTTGTTTTAGTCCTCCGGCGCCAGAGATGCCTGCGTGGCTCGCCGGAGGTGACGTGTCCGCCAGGTGTTGCTGACCTGGCGGACACGTGGATTTTTTAATTTTTTTTTCATTTTTTTAAAATTTTTTAAAAACTTATTTTTAATTTTTTTTCATTTTTTTTGTATTTTTTTTATTTTGTCTAATTAAAAAAATAAAATAAATGAAAAAAATAAATAAATCCACGTGTCCGTCAGGTGTCGCTGACCTGGCGGGACACCTGGCGGACAAGTCACCTCCGGCGAGCCACGCGGACGTCTCCGACGCCGGAGGACTAAAACAACGAAAAATTTTCACTTATGGAACTAGTTTGCGACAGACTCCATTTACGGGACTAAAATGATAAAGGGATCCGGTTATGGAACTAAAAAAACAGTTTACCTAATAAGAATAATTATTGTATAATACAAATAATTATAAATTAAAATTAAAATAATTAAATAATTTAATTAAAATTAAATTTTAAAATTTAAAATGTAATTAAAATTGATGATAATATTTCCATAAAAGAAAATGACATTATATTATATGAGATCAAAAAAAATAAAATAAGTGGTATTAGTCTAATATGAATTTAAACTAATTAGAATTATATTTATTTTTTTTAGATATTATAATACATATGAATATTAAAATTATATTATCAATAAATAATAAAATTAATTTTACAAATATTTAAATATATTAATAAAATCATTATATCAAAAAGTCTATGGAAATAATTATGATAAACTAAATATTTGTATTTAAATGGTATGGTATTTAATATATGTAAATATAATAAATGGTTAGTAGTGACAATTGATTAAACATATATTAAATAAATAAATAAAATATATTGGCCCATAATGCTTTAACTAATAAAAAATTAAAGAAAATAATTCAGAATTGCTCTAAATTCATGTTTTACATTGTGGTGGGGCTACAATGAATTTAAATCATATCATATATATATAAAAGAGTTCAAGCGTGGATCTTTTTTTTTTATTATTATTATGTAATTCTGCAATCTCAGAATTTTTGAGATTTTTTTGATTTTTTTTTAATTACAGTTTTTAAATTTTTATTCTTAGATTTAGAGTTTATTATCAAAATAAATTATAGAGGATGTGAATTACCGTTTTAAAATATGGGATGGTGGTTTCAATGGAGGAATTTTTTTTTTTTTTTTCTATATATATAAATATCAGTTGAGCATCATTCATCGGCTGCTATCAAAAGAAAGAAGAGAATAAGAATATTGTTACTTTTTTATAAATCTTTTTTATTGAAAATATTGAGTTGTTTTGCTATTTTTTTTATTGATAATATTTTTTTATATATATATTTTTATAATTTTTAGATTTTTTTGTTTTTTCTAAATTGTTTATTTTGTTGTGTTTTTTCTAGGCAGCCGTAAAATTCGAATCCCAAATACTTTTTTGATAATTTTTTTTATTGATAATATTTTTTTATTGATAATATCATTGTTTTGTTATTCTTCTTTATTGATAATATTTTTTTATATATATATTTTTATAATTTTTAGATTTTTTTGATTTTTTTACTAAATTGTTTATTTGGTTCTGTTTTTATTTTTTTTTGCAGCTATAAAATTGGAATCCCAAATATTTTTTGATAAAATTTTTTTATTGATAATATTGAGTTGTTTTGCTATTCTTCTTTATTGATAATATTTTTATAATTTTTAGATTTTTTTTGGTTTTTTCTAAATTTTGTTGTGTTTTTTTTGCGCAGCCATAAAGTTGGAATTCTTGATAAAAAAAAATTATTGATAATATTTTTTTTATTGATAATATTTTATTATATATATTTTTATAATTTTTAGATTTTTTTTAGTTTTTTCTAAATTTTTTTATGCTTTTTCTACGCAGCCATAAAGTTGGAATCTCAAATACATTTT